CAGGGGAGGACATCCATCACACAGTAATCTCGTGCGTGGGAAATTAACGTCTCCTACCCCTAATCCTGTAGGAGACAGGACCTCCATTTATTCGTCCCTATCCGAGAAGACTAGAATATCTAACCATTTCTTGATGTTATAGAAAGGTAGCATATTCTCCTCAATTAAGACCTTGAGTCTTGGTCCGGCCGGGGCTCGAACCCTCGACCTCCCGCACAACAGTCCAGCGCTCTATCCATTGAGCTAACCGGGAGGCGGTTAGAGATTTATTATACGACTAAAGCTCAAAGGGACACAAGAGTGGTGTCATTCGGGACCATTCGGGACAGTGCCCGGTCCAATACTTAGAGAATATTGACCAAAAATAGAGCATTTTGATTGGTTGATTTTAGTTATTGGCCCTCTGACTGCCCGAGTCGTGTAATAAAATAGTCTATGTGAACTACAGATTAATAGATAGGCATGTGAGTGATCATCGCAGTAATAGACATTACTTATACTAAGCAACAGTGATAGCGTAGCCTGCAATTCTTTACTCCGGGCTGGACACTTTTGTGCGATCATCTTCAAGATCACTAGTAGACGGAGGGGCTGTATTGAAGTCACTTTGAAAAATTGAAAGCAAATTATGGCCAAGAACTGTCTCCAGGGGCAACCTTATTGTGATGGGAAAGAACGAAGCAATCTGCCCATCCACCACAACCCCCTGTGATCTGTTGTTAAGAAAATCTATATTCACGTTTATGACAAATGGATTCAGTGATCCAACGGTGGATCGTTTTCATGGAGTTGGTTGTCGACTACATTTTAACTTTCGCTCTGACGAAGGGCTAAATTATAAAGCTCGAAACGTCCGCTTTTTACGGTGGCCAATTCATATTATCGACTGAATCGATAAACTTAATTATCTTGTTATTAAGTAAACATATCCTCGTTACTCAGATTCATCTCACAAAACTGAGTACTTTTAGTTTCTCCTATTTCTTTTGAAATCACGAGTAAACTTATATCAGACTCAGCTTATAGGCTGAATCTTTCTTTCATCTAACCTATTGGGCATTCATTTCCTCTTCTTCTCCATCCATTGCAGCATCTGAAGTATGTATCAATTGTCCGACGGTAGATCGTTTTCAATTTGTAGCTGGTTACAGTTCTGAAAGATACAAAGCACTCACATAAACATCAAGAGTTTGTACTTGTAAATGAATTTTCGTGCCCTACACTAGATTCTATTCTCGTTCATCGTGGGTTACCCCTAGTATTTTCTCGGTTTCCGTAACATTTTGTCAACATATTCCCAGATATGGAGAGAGGGGCACTAATGCTTGAAAACATTGCTCCTAGTCAGGGCTTGAGCCGGGTAAGTGCCATAGCCATTAGACAAATGACGGACTAATCTCAATCACCAAACAGAAAGAATAGCTGAAAAAAGCAATAAAAAAGGCTGCTGAAAGGCCCTATCATGAAAGTTTAATTGTATCCTTGGGTAGGGCAGTGAAGATAACCAACCTAGACTTTCTGCAACGCCTCCAACCACAAAGTTTACTGCGTGAGTTGTAGATTTGATAACTGACAGTCGACACCAGGGTGGATGTTGCAACGGTCCTCCATTTCCACTCTTGGCAAACATTCGTACTGCAAAAAAAAATTTGTTCTAGAGCATAGGTATAAGGCTGTACAGTTGTCGGTGCGCTATTGGTTGGCATAGGGCGTTTCTCACCAGCTCTATTACTGACGAGTCATACTGAAATTTTTTATTCGCGTTCTACTCAGACATCACTGTTGTTTTCCAGGGTTGTTCTGCGAGCTAAATAATATATTTCAACAAACCCCGCGTGAGCTTTTCCACGCACTTTGGTGTTGGGTATACAGAGTAACGCATGAAGAAAATAACGTAACATCAAATAATAAAAAAATGTCAGCTAAGAAAAGAATTTAACATGCTTTATATAAGGTATATGAGGTGGGTTGTTGAAACAGACGAGAATTGTTAGTTTTAGTTTCATATGACGTTTCATTCCTGTAGAGATATTGTACATAATGTTTTGCGAAATTTCAACATGATGCTTAATTGTGCACCACAAGGTTTTTAGCAACAGCTGACAGATAGGCAGTCCGCAGAATGTTTAATTGTGCACCACGAGGTTTTTAGGGACAGCTGACAGATAGGCAGTCCTCAAAATGTATTGGAAAGTATCGCAAAAGCTTTCAGAGAGAACAACGCTTTCTTAGTTCTCTTCTACAAATCTCTGGCTAAGGATATGAAGATTATTTTTAATGATTATACAGGTAGTTTGATGAAAGATGAGAAGATGGATTTTGTAGCAAAACTGCAGAACTGTGTAAAATTATGCAAACGATAACTGCTGAATATCGCGATTGTCGCGAGATATCGGCAATATTTGAGCGATATTTCAGTTGCAACGATATATCGGCGATATATCGCAGATGTATCGTTTTAACATCAACAATATATTGTTCAGCTCCTCGAGAATTATCGTTTTCCTTGAGCAATATATCGCTTGAACTCAGCGATATATCGTTTGAGCTCAGGAAATTCCCCTCAAGTCGCCTTTGGTCAATGAGAAGGAAAACACAGAGTACTTGTGAAGATACTGACCTGAGTAAGAACTTGAAAAGAACTCAATAAGAACTTGACTTACAACAGGCGAGGAGAGAAGAGTGAGAGAAGAAAGGAAGAAGAAAGGAGGTTTAAAGCAATCTGAAGGTTTACAACCAGAACCAGAACCATCGTCATCATTCTCACTCACTCAAATTCTGTCAGTAACAAGTGCCTTTATATCATTGGCTGGAATGTACCATAAAAGGAAAGACTTGATGGCTCTCAATAATGAACCACAACCAAAACCGCAGGTTCAACCAACCAACAAACTCAAATTCCCGAAAAAGTAAAACTATTGGGTTGATTCTTTTTTTTTTTTCTGTTTACCAATTAAAATATCTGCTAATATGCTTGTGAAAACTTTGGCTGATTCAGGATTGGCTGCTGGAATCGGATGGTTTGCAAAGGAAGTTAACAAGGAACAAAGGACTTCTGATCCGAGTTAAAATCTCATGAACCATGTTAAGTTCACTGCATCAATCGCAACAAAAAGATATCTTGAACAACAAAAGATTTTACTAACCTAAAATGTTGACAGTTGTTAATGTTGCAAGTAGATTCAAGGCAACTAAGCCTCTCACCTCAAACAGTTTATCTGAGGCCTCAAGAGGTTTTCAGATACTCTATAAGCGAGGACCACTGAGTTGGCCAAATGTTCTCCAGGGTGATCCTAGGCGTGTATTCATGGGTTAAGAAACCAAAGAGATGGCAAAGCATGATGTTAGCATCCCAAGAGGGAATGTAATCGTTCATAGAGATCAGGGAATAGTTGAGCGATTCGATCGACCTATAAGTGAGCGCCTCCTCCCTTTCCATTAGAGTCAAGAGATGAACTTCAAAGAGAAAAGGTGATCGACAGAATTGGTGGGGAGGCTTCCAAAAGTTTTTCTAGCATTGAAAAGAGAAGTGACCAGGTTGATAGGAAAGAAACCTTTTGACGTAATCAAAGAGATTGCGATTGACGCAAAGAGTTCAATCACTTATTCTAGACCTATTGGCTTGAAAGAGAAGAGACTCGACTCTTCAAAAAATGTGAGATATCTCTATGCTGTTCGTGAGTTGGAAGGCGGGCAAAAGATCCAATCTTGTCTCTAAAGGTCTTCAATATCGAAAAAACCACTGGTGAATAATGGCGAGCCTGTTCTCTACAATCTAAAAGGCGGAATAGAGCTTCAGAGTAGAGCTTAAGATTGTTCCTCCTGAAAAGGAGCGGCCTCCTGAGGGAACTTGTTTATTTAGAAAGACTATTCGAAAAAATGAGTTTCTCAATAAATCTATGAAGTCCTTGTGAATCAGTTCAAGAAACCGTTAAAATAGAAACAATAAAAAGATCGTCAGTTTCGCCAATCCAGCTGAGAACGAAGATGCAGCAAACAAGGAGTATGTTGATAAAAAAGGAAAACAATCGATTTATGCTCTTTTTTGTCAAAAAGTGCAAACAGAAGTCTCTTTGTTGAGACATTCATTAAAGAAAAATCAACATGATAGTATCACACAGACCATGCACAACTCAAAAAGTGAAATATTTCATCAAAGAAAAAACTGAGGCCAAGAATATCTACTTCAACAACAATGGAACCTACTTTCTTGTTTTGACTTTTTTTTTGTTTTTTAAGAAAATAGACAATTTGATCGTTCTTTCAAATTTACTTCAATAACAGGAACAAAGTCCACCTAACTTACACGTTTTTTCTGTTGCCAAGATATGTAAAAGAAGTCTGCGTGGAACAACAATATATACAAGAAACTGTTTGGTTGGAGATGGAAGGTTTCCTGGCTTTTTTCTTCCTCTTGAAAAAAATTTAGGGAGTAAGCCCAGAAACGGTTGGGGGTGTTTTATTCATAACTGTTGGAGAAAACACAGAACCATTCACTGTTGGAACATGAAAGTAAATCAATGGAAGTAGCACCTTCAGCAGGATTCAAGACAAAAGCAATCCCTACAAATTGAGGAAAGTGGAAAATTGTCAGCTGCCACTAGAATTGAATATTAGGAGGTTCAATAAATACTTCTTTTCTAGTGCAGGGAATTTGTGGAATTTTTAAAATGAGCCAGAACTGTACTTGGAAAGCAAGGTTGTCTTCATGAGTTTCCTTTAAAAATCAAGGTCGTCTCAAGAATTACTAATTACCAATATTTGTCTATTTCTTACAATAATTCCTAATTACTAATATATAGAGAGCGGAGATTTTTTCAAGACCATATAAATTCGTCATCGGAGCATTTTCAACTGAAATAGTTTTATAATAGTACAAATGATAGCATGAATGTGGTATGATAGATGTCCATGGTTTCATCACAGAGTTCCAACGTTCAAATTTTGTTTCTCAACTGAAACAGCACCTAGCTAAACGAAATTTTGTAAACAGGGATGCTATCATCGAGATGTTCTTGGTCATGCTGTTCAAAAATGCATGTATACCTTTTTTTTTTCTCTTAGTAGCGGAATGGGTGTTTCGTCAGTATTTTCAAGGAATACAATTTTCTTTCTAAAAGAAATGCTCTTATGTTTTCCGTGACTGGTAATTTAAATTTCTGGGTTTGATGTCTTAACTAAGTTATTTCAGCTAACAATCATGGTCCGTATTGGAGTCAGGGTATTCCCGTCTCAACAACATTCATTAAGTCACACTCCAACGTTTATTACTCTGGCCAAAAAGGCCCAGAATCCGAGATGCGGTTTGGATTTTCTGCTGCAGGAAAATACACAATAGGTGTACGTGGCAGTTTTTAATTGGCGTAAAGCAATGTGGTGGACATAGCCTGGGAACGAGGTTGAGTTTTAGCATTGAGTGTTTTAGGCTTGAGGTGCTGGGCCGCGCATAAACGATTAACCAGGCTTGTTACAGTTTACACTTATCTTCCGAATGGACTTAAAGTATCAAATATTAATTTAAAGCACAATACTAATACTGTGAATCGCTTCAATTGTTTACGTACTGATGAAAAACAACAACCGTGGGAACAGTTAACGTTTACTGGCTGACTGATTAAACTCGATTAAACACGAATACATAAAATTAATATATCTGAACTGCGGTTATAGAAACGTATTTGTGCACGATCCTCGCAGTAAAGAGCACTATTAAGCAATAGTGAAAATCAGACCCGAAAAAATTCAGGCCTGTACGGGATTCGAACCACTGACCTCTGCGATACTAGTGCAGCGCTCTACCAATTGAGCTAACAAGCCAACTGGGAGCAGGTCATCAAATTAGTCCCGTCCTGAATTTTTTCAGGTCTGATTTTCACTATTGCTTAAATAGTGCTCTTTACTGCGAGGATCGCGCACAAATACGTTTCTATAACCGCAATTCAGTTATATGAATTTCATATATTCGTTGTGTTTGATTTATCATCTTACGGGTTTATGTCGGACTAATTTGATGACCTGCTCCCAGTTGGCTTGGCTTGTTAACTCAATTGGTAGAGCGCTGCACTAGTATGGCAGAGGTCAGTGGTTCGACTCCCGTGCGGGCCTGAATTTTTGCAGGTCTGATTTTCACTATTGCTTAAATAGTGCTCTTTACTACGAGGATTGTGCACAAATACTTTTAAATTCGATTAATTAGTTAAATTATCCTGTGTAAAAATTGGCAATTGGATCGATTAGTAGATCACTTTAGCGAATTAAACAATCATGCTTTTCTGAAAAAAAAAAAAAGAAAACTTGTGGAAGTCACCGTCACATATCTTTAATTTTAATCAGTCAAAAAACTTGCGGTCTTTAAAATTCCTTCTGTGGTATAGCGTTCCGAAGCAGAAAACCTCAGAAGGTTGTTATCGAATGTAAGTGAGAGAAACCTTTCGAACAAAGATCATCGTGTTTAGATGCAAATATTTATTGAGCGACTGTGGGGAGCAACTAGACATGGGAATGGAAAATAGGGGAATTTGGCTTGTGCTGGCAGAGAAAGATTTGAATCGCAGCTTCAAAATTTGATGAATTCTGCAACCGGAAATTTGATAAACGCAGGTTTTGATTTAGAACTGGTTTTGTAGAACGCCTGAGGTATGCGTTTATTATTCTGCGCAGTTGGACGGTTACCATCATTCTGGATTTCTAAGTCACAAAGTGAGTTATTCCTTTTCTGTTGACTTTGCCGTGGTACTTAGGTTAGTCCCCGCATTCATTTAGCGATTTTAGTATTTCCAATTTGTCATGGCATCAACTTGGTCCAAAGTCTTAATCTCCATACCTCTGAGAAGCACTTAACAGCATTTTTTCTAAAAACAACAAGGCCTTCAATTCGTTCCCTCTGAACCGAAAATCCGGCCAGAATATAAGCTCCAAGCAGCCTCTTGTTAGTTTTTAAAAGAGCGTCCTAGACAATTAATCGTTGCGCGACCTCTTCTACTACTTATGTGTGCGGAAACTGTTTACATCTTTCAAAATAGCTAAGGTGCAGCTATTGGTATTTGAGTTGTTGTTCTGGTCCCTAACGACTTTGCCATGAACAAAAAACTTTTCGGGGAAGTATTAAACAGCTTGCAAACAACCAAGAAAGGTGAGAAAACGGGACAATCGACAACATGCAGAGTGTCCCGATATCTAGTTACTGATATCATTCTACAAAAAGAAGAAGGGCTAAAAGTGACTCATATTATACTCCACTTTGATTTTAAGCATTAAAAGAGTAATAAATAATATTCATCTGCTGTGGCTGAACTTGTGTCGGTCGTAGAATACTTAAAGGAGGCAAACAGAGTTATAATTGGTCAACAGTTTGTAGAGGCAACAACAAGTCAGTCACTGTGAAACATTTGTGGATAAACCGAAGAAGGCCGAAAAACCATACAGCGAACCAACGATAAAAGCAAGCAGCTACCATCGCACTGCTCCTTTGTTACGCTCGTAAAAATATGCGAGTATCACCCGATTCAGTAAAATTTCATCACTCACGTTCAACACAGCAACGCTCTTAACTGACGGGTGACGTGGGGAACGGTCAAGTTTAATTTAGAGAAAGATACATTTCTTAATAAATTGTAATTTTCTTCACACGATTTTTAAAAATTATGAAGTGACAATCTATGTGTACTACCTGAAGCCCTGACATACAGAATTAGGTGTAGTACGTTCGCCACTTAAGTTACAAATGAAGGATTGATTCTCGCGATTACTTATTAAGTCTGATAAAAATTTATAATCACTGTTATAATTATTCCGTGACACTGTTATATAATTATATAAGTACACTGTTATATAATTCCGTGTCATTGTTCTCTCCGCAAACAGATTTTGAAACAACTTTGTTAGGTTAGGAAAAAGAGCAGTAGATAGATGATAAAGGCAGGCAGCTGACAAACGTATTGCACCTTTGTTAGGCTCGTGAAAATAAATGAGTATCACCCGAGGGATAAAAAAGAAGTCTGACAAAACATACCCATATTTTGATAGCCCATTGCTATAAAGTGTTCCGCGCACCACGGAAAGGCAGAGCACAAGTATAAGAAACACTTCCAGACCCGTCTTTTTCACCTTGCTGTGCGTCATCTTGGTTAACCAGCACTCAAAGAGCATAAAGACGCCTGACGGAGGGTAGATGAAGTAAATTAAGTTACGCGTTTGTGAAGTTTCAAAGCTCTGCCAGCTTGGCACAATAATAGACTACGTGACTACTAAAATGGGAGATAACTGAGAGGTCAAAGTATCGAACTCAAGATACCATTTATCGACCAGCGGAAAGAATAGAAAAACCACGGGATCTTTCGATACAAAGGCGGTGTAACTTTACCTCCGAAATACTCTTTCATCGCCTTGTGAGCTTTGCATAGTAAAGTCCCATTAATTGCAAATTAAAGGATCATAAAGGAGTTCTCTGGTAAAAATTTATCGAAATAAGATAGAGGCGAAGAGGACATGTCAAACGATCAAAGAAAATATAGACACTCGCTTTGAAACTAAAAAAGAACAATTAGTTCGAAAGCCAGAAATTTTTTATTGTTATAGTCTTTTTGCTATAGTCTTACTTAATTACCTTCTTGGTTGGTTTTTTCTTTATGTGGGGTTACGGACTTCTTGATAGATCTTCCATTTACCTGTTGTTTTTATCATTTACTAGTTTTTATTTTTACTTTTTGAGCCAGTAGCCATTAAGCCATTAAATCGTAATAAAGAGTAAAAGAGAATATCAATCAATTCTTTTTGCTCTAATTAAGCTCGATGGCGACGGCTTAAAGGAAGATGTTTATCAAATTTTTGATCATATAAAAAGAAAACCAACTGTAAAATACTGGTTTTAAGCTACAGGTTTTATTTTACTTTACTCCGTGAAGATTAAGAGTGCGTCAGGAACTTTGTAATTGGTGAGTAATTAAAGGGAAGGAGCATCGAGGAATAAAGCGGTTTCTTGTTTGTGTAAACTTTGACTAAGAGAGAAGAGGGGAAGAGAATCTTAGGTTTGGATTTAAATGTTTTATCTGGTTTATGGTATATCTGTTGCATTCAGTAAAACGGCGCTAACATTTTATCATTAACCACAGGCAGCCCAAGCTCACTACTAGAAAAGCGGACGTGACTCTTACAGTGTTGCGCAACGTTTTCTATTTATAAAGGTTTGTATGAGATGTTATCGGTTTGCCTTAAAGAGAGAAATTGAACACCAAAATAGCGCTAACTCGCCGAAATCGCTTCAAAATGGCCTTAGACTCTGGTAATCAACAAAGAAACAACAAGGCAATAACGTAAGTCCATTTTATTTCAAAACAAGACATTTTTTCTCTCTTTAAGGCAAACCGATAACATCCCATACAAACCCTTAAAAATATAAAACGTTACGCAACACTGTAAGAGTCACGTCCGCTTTTCTAGTAATTAGCTTGGGCTGCCTATGCATTAACAAGCCTTGTCTGTCTGTGAACATTAATTAGCGTGGACAGTTTCTACTGCCCGAGCGGAAATGGAGGGGTGGAAGGGAATCCATGATGAAGAGGGGGGATGGTTTCATTTCGGTAAGAAGTACAAATTGCAGTTTTAGTTAGAGTGTTATGGGCACAACACCTTTATATTCAGTCATAAATCACAACCGAGGTGAGATAAGGACATTACTCTAAAATAATGTCCTTAACTAACTAAAAGTTTCAAGTCTATTGATTTAATATCATTGGAGAAATTTTGAGCTGAAAGTGCTCAAATTTTCAAGAACATTTCTCCGACTCAAGATGTCACATACACATCCGGCCCTACAGATGTGTAGGGATTTTACAAATTATCAGTTGAAACAACGCCCATTTGGCTAAATGAACTCTGTGATATTGCCAGAATATTGATGCTTATTATGCTCCTGAAATAAATTTCGCGCCGAAAGGTAAAGTCCATATTTCTTATTGTATTTGTAATTGCATCTAAACTGTGCCGGTTTGTCTCGCCGGTAATAGTAATCAAAGTAATAGTAATAGTAATCAAAGTTTAATGTCTTTACGTGGGGCATCGTTACCCATATTGTCCGAGCCAGAAGCTCATGTATGAAACACGAGACAACAACCCACCCATCCCACCTCAGGGGAGGACATCCATCACACAGTAATCTCGTGCGTGGGAAATTAACGTCTCCTACCGCTAACTAACTAAGTCGTTTGTCTCGCCGTTTGTTAAACTGCGCCGTTTGTCAAACTGAGCCGTTTGTCTCGCCGGTAACTGATATCACAAAATACAAGCCAGACGCGAAGAATTACATGCGAGGAAGTTACTTCTTAATTCGAGATTCGTTCACGCGGTTTTTTGCTCCAAACTGGAAGGAAAGAAAAACCAGATGTCCTGAAACCTATCTCAACAATATCCAAACTCCTATTCAATGAAGACGCTCTTGACATGTTCAAAGATGTAACTGAAGGACTTAGCTCTCGAGTATTTCGCATATGAGATCAATTCAAGATCTCAGGAAACATCCATTGTGATAAATTTCCAATTGAATCCCAATTGTACAAGCTTCGGTTTCCTTTCCTCTGTCATTTTTCTTAGAGTTCACGCGAAGGTCTAATGACATTTGTTTCAAAATGTTGAAGGCCTAAATGTTATCACTGTCCAAAATGTAATAAGGTCCTAAATGCAATAAACCTCCATATCCAGTGTATTTTTGTTACAGTGGACACCTATTTTGTAATGTTACAGTGCAGCTGTTACACCAAAAACTCCTCCAACCAGTTTCATTGGCTCCGACTCTAAAGTACAATAGGGTTAGGAAAATTATGATAACGTTATACTTGTGTGATCAGTGATGGAGTTAACAAGTCATAAACCAAATTACAAACTTGGACCAGAGAGTCCACTGACTTGTAGGTTGGTCAATTTTCAGGCTGGGATATATATATATTTTTTGTATTTCCTTGCCTGAATAGACCTTGTTCGCATGCACATTCTGTTTCCTAATTCGGACCTAGTGACTGCAATCTAGAGAGTTATTACTTGCGAGTTATCGAATATCTTTGTGAGTATATGAATACGGACAAAATCAAATTTTTCTCCCTTCTTGACCTTGAAATGAAATGGGTATTGAATGGGTCTGCATCAAATTATATACTCAGTCAATTACATTTAGCAAGTGTTCTAATTGATTTGTGGCACATGAATTGGTTTAAAGAATTTAAAAAAAAAAAAAGAAAATAAGGTTTGCTCGAAGCACTGATGTCCATAATTTCCAGACATTAAGTATAACAGCATTATCTGACTCTGAATCGAACTATTCTTTTACTCAATCGGCACCATTAGAATAACTTACGCGTAGAGGGCATACGTCATCGATTTGTTCGTAAACATTAAGATTTTTTGGAACAAATTGACTTTAATTGACGATAAACTAGCAAGCTACTGTTGATGTTATTGTTGGTGTTAAATTCGTCGCAATTTTCACACAATTGTTAATCCAAAGCAAAAATACTACAGGCTTTCAACCTTCGTAACTGTTGGACATTGTAAGCGACGAAGTCATTAAAAACGAAGGAGGACATTCAAAAATAAATAAATAAATAAATAAACGATTCTGATGGGTTTTTTTCTGCCAGAAACACAGTGGCTTTCTTTCCCAGTTCTCGAAATAAATAGGTCATTCTTGATTCTTATCAAAGCGAAATCTTCCTGCGGTATACTAAATCCCTTATTGTCCCAGCTTGTTCGGTCAAGATGGGTGGAAATTAGCCTGGTTTTTTTCTTGCTTTTTTATGGAAGATATACCTGGCAGCTCGCGCGGGCGAGATGACGCGATTTCGTAACTTTTGGACAATGTCGGCGACGAAGTCACAAAACTGAGCAGCAGAAGACAGTCATAACAAAGAAAAAATTAAACGACCCTGTTGGGTTTATTGCGCTAAAAAAGCAGTTGGCTCTCATTTTCGGCTCTCGAAATAAACAAGTAATTCTCAAGTTTTATTAAAACGAAATATTTTTGCTTTATAATAAGTCTTTTATTGACCAAGCCAAGAGAATGTAAACCCTCTTGACCAAGCTTAGACGGTCAAGATGAACGGATATTAGCCTTGTTCCTTTCTGCGGTTTTATGGACTTCGACTTCATCTCGGTCCATAAAAAAGCAAAGAATATACTCGGTCAAAATCCGACCATCCTGACCTCACGCCTGGTCAATAACGCATATGAATATATTCAATGCAGATCCATACAAATCTGGCAAGGGAAGACAGTACAAAATATGCACTTCCGAGCCCAGAATCTGTTTACCGTATAGGTCAGTAGACTTCCTTATATTTAGTTCATGAAGTGTTGTAGGGCATGTAAACCCAAAAATCGTACATTTTCCTTTCACATAGCTGTTCAGAAAACATATCAAGTACACCAAAAGTGAAGTTCTTCAAAATTCGAAGCATTCGCTATCATGAATTGTGTCATCTATCCTGTGACGTCACGGTTGGAATCTTCCCATACTGGAGGTCAAAATCGCATTAGAGACCTTTAAGTCTCCTTCCCATCCCTTGTTTGCCGGTCTCGACACGATTTTTATACTTATAATTTGGTTAAATACATTGAATTTTTTCATAACAGTAAAGCGTTGTGTTGTCCAGTTTTGTAACAATTCAAACAAAACCAGACATACAATACATAAATTTCCAAAAGAACCATATTTCAAGTAACAAAGGGTTAAATTTGTCCAAGTAAAAAGAACTAATTTCGTCGAGCCGTCCAAACATTCTAGTGTTGTTTGTAACAGTCATTTTTCACCTGATTGTTTCGAGAAAAGCTACCTGGCGGAGGTGGGCCTTAAAAAGTTGCTGATTTCAGTGCTGTACCGACGACTCAGCCCCTACCAGAAACAAATTCTTCTGAAATAAAAAAGCGACCCGTGCAGTCAGCAGATGGCGAGAATCCGGAGGTGGCCGACCGAACTGGGAAACGACCGAGGAGAAGTAGAGCTCTCCAAAATTTAAGAGAAAGAAAGGGAGATAAATAAGAAATTTCTAAGAACCCCTTAAGCTGTCAACCTTTTGACAGCCACTCGCCATTAAAGGTATACGAGAATTGCTGTGCCTTTCTTGTGTTTACTTGCCCTAGAATTGAAATATCTTTATCTAACACCATGTAGTACTTCACAGATTAGAATTTTATTAGACGAAAGTTTAATCGAGGAGCTGAACGGTTGGCTTACCGTGAACAACGGGGAGATCGTTCGAGTATAGAAACCACGAAAAAAAAAAATCAACGCCAGGGTAAGTTGGCTCTTCAACGAATCAACGAATCAACTTTTTAATCTAAATTGTATGCCCTTTTCTGCTAGCTACAAAATCTTATCTTGGGCTTTTTAGTTTGCCGAAACATATTTTTACCCGCCATTTGCAACGTTCTCGAACGATGTCCTTACAGCGCTTTACCAGTTCAAAACAGGTTATGTTCTCATGCATCATTCTAATTTTGCTTTCTTTGACAGTTTCCGAAGACAAGGAAGCCACGGAAAATGCAGCGGTACCATGTGTCGAGCTGCAGCACGAGCTCATTAGTCAAGAGATCGACAATAGATGTTTTTATACAATTCTAAACCGCCACGGTTTATAGCGCGATCTTATTTACATAGCCAGGAAGGAAGCATTGGGATGTTACGTGGAAGATGTTTGAAAGGTCATGCCAGTCTGTGTTGTGGAAGATCTTCGGAAACGGTGGCCAAATCCTGATGGAGTGCCCTACTGTGCTCACCGTCGTTCATAAAATCAGCATTACAATACTCCATCAGCACTTCCCTCCAAAATAGTACACATTTCTTTGTATAATGACAATAAGGTACAATAGAAGCTATATTTTTTCACAATACACCGTATGCCCTAATTCTGAACTCCACTATGCAATATCTTGAGGGATTGATCAGCATTTTCCATGTTCTTCTTCCACTGCTGGTACCTTAGGTTGTGAAAAAGGAATTGGGCTGTAGTTTATTTCCTCTCAATAAAGATTATACACAGATGCTATTTATAATAATTGTCATTGAGTCGCGAAGATTTCTGAGCATATGAATCCAAAATGATGTCATCATTCAAGAGAATTGAATGAGCATCATCAACTCAAAAAAGGTGTCATTTCAACAGAAAATGGAAAAGCAACTGAAATAATACTTTGCCTTGAACCATCCTTGATCATCAATAAACTCATTCCAAGACCAAAGCTACATCATCTCTGAAAAGGAAAGCAAACAAGTAGTAGCCTTATATCGTGAAACTTTAAGAGCTTCTGCAAACAACCTAGAAGCTGCCAAATACATACTAGGCAAGGCATATGGCAAAGCCTACAAGCATCGTCACTATTATATACATGTAAATAGAAGTACTGTCTTGAATAAAAAAGATGCAAATGTCAAAGAGACACTAATTTCAAATGAATTCAGTCTTGATAATAAGTTGTGATTGATCATGACCATAGATAGATTACAACAATAACAACTTTGTCAGTGAGGAAAACAATGTCAATGTGTTGTAAATTGTAAAGTGCAGTCAATGCATGACATGACACGAGTGATAGCCCGTTTCTATAAAGTGTTCCTGCGCACCACGAAAACGCAGAGCACAAATATAAGAAACACTTTTAAACCTGTCTTTTTCTTCTTGCTGTGCGCCATCTTGGTGAACTAGCACGCGAAGAGTATCACTGAAGACGCCAGCACTAACTGAGAGCACTTCACCTAATAAGATCGATTTACATCCTTGATGTTTGTACAATCTGTCATTACCTAAATGATCTTACGCAATATCCATTCTGACCGAGGGTAGATGAGGTAGATAGGGTTGTCAAGTTAAGCGCGCGTGGAGTTTCAAAGCTATGCTAACTTGGCAGAGCAATCAAATACATGAGTACTAAAATGTGAGAGTTAACTGAGAGGTCGAAGTATCGAAGATATCTTTCAGCGACTGGTGGAAATGATCGGGTTTTTAGGATTTTCGGTACAAGGGAGGTGTAACTTTATCTCCCGAAATACCCTTTCGTCGTCTTGTCAGCTGTGCATAGTAAGTCCCATCAGGTGTAAAATAAAGGAGTTCTGTGGTCAGAACTGATCGAAATAAGATAGAGGCGAACAGGACAAACGATGAGAGAAAACATGGACACCTGCTTTGCAACTAAAAGGGAACATTCAGGTCGAGAGCCAGAAATATTTTATTGTTATAATATTTTTGCCATAGTCTTACTTAAATACCTTCTTGGTGGTCTGTCTTTACACGGGGTCAAGGACTCCTAACAGATCTTCCATTGGCCTCTCATTTTCTATCATTTACTAGTTTTTACTTTTATTTTTATATTTGAAAGAATGAAGGATGAAGAATAGTAATTAATTATTTTGGTCTGATTAAGCTCGACGGCGACGGCTTAGAGGGAGATCTTTATTAAAAATTTGATCGTATAATAGAGAAACCAACTGCAAAATACTAGTTTTAAGCTCCAGGTTTTATTTTACTTTACTCCTTGAAGATTAAGAGCGCATCCAGAACTCCATGGTTGATGGGTGATAAGAGGAAGGAACATCGAAAAATTTAACGGTTTTTGTTTGTGTAAACTTTAAAACCAAAAGGGGAGGAAAATTTTAGGCTTGGATGTTTTGTCTGGCGTTTGGTATTGGTATATCTGTTGCATTTAGTAAAACGGCGCCAACACTTTATCATTAACTGGATTTGTCTGTCTGGGAACATCTGGATAAATTCCATTTCCACCGCCCTAGCGGAAGTGGAGGAGGTGGGGGGACTCCATGATGAAGAGGGAGGATCTTTTCATTTCGCTTACAGGCACAAATTTGGATTTAATCAGCACAACACCTCTATATTTAACCATAAATCACAACCGAAGTGAGGTAAATTGAGTTGATATGATGACCAAAGGACTAGTTAAGATGAGGAAATGAAATTATTCTAATTATTTCCTAATCAGTCCTTAACTGTCTGGCCTAGGATATCACATACACATCCGGTCCTATAGATGTGCAGATTTTTTTCAAATCATCAGCTGAAACAACACCCATTTGGCTAAATCAACTCTGTAACATGGCCAAAATATTGATGCTTATTTTGCTTCTGAAAGAAATTTCTCTGCAGAAAAGTTAAGTCCATATTTCTTATTGCATTTGTAATTGCATCTAAACTGAAGCATTAGATGTTTGCTAAACAATTTAGCTATAAAAAAATTGCGTGTGCAATGCATGATTTCCGGTGGAGCAATGTCAAGTTCACAGACAGCGAAGTAAGAATAGCTTCTCGATTCACTTCATCGACCCAGCAAGAAATTGAGAAATTACTTGAAGATAAAGATTTGGAAAATACTAAAACATGGACAAAAGTGACGAAGGAACTGTTCTTCCCTGTTCTACCCTCGGTTAGTATTATCGGCCTCAGCCTTCGGCTTCGGTAACACTTACCTTGACCTTGATTATTCCGGATATCACATAAACCGAATCCAATAATTGTTTTATTACACATTGCTTTAAAGAAAATAACGCCAAACGCATTATCGTAGCGAACACAGTTTATTTTCGAACACTTAAAAATGTACAACATAAAAAGATTTCAACACTTGGGCTAAATTTTTTTTTATCGCGTGGCTCCTGGATATTTTTCTCTCTAAGGTATTCGTAGAACAGTACGTTCGTCACTTTTGTCGATCTTTTAGTATTTTCCAAATCTTTATCTTCAAGTAATTTCTCAATTTCTCGCTGGTCGATGAAGCGAATCGAGAAGCCATTCTTACTTCGATTATGTCTGGTATACCGCCCGACACACAAAGACTTTGCAATCAGGAGGCATCTTGAGCAACACGGTCTATTCAAGACTGACTTGGTTGATAAGCAATTTTATGTTCTAAAGAAATATAGATCAGAGTTTGATTGTCTAATTCTTGAGAACTGAACCCCGAGTTAAGAGGCTGTCCGCCTAAGAACGGATAAGGCAAATTTCGGACCTTCACCGATTTCCCTGATTTTTACTGTAAAGGTCGAGACTTCTATCCCATGAACAAATATTGCGTTTATTTTGAACCAGTCTGGTTTTTTCACTTTTTACGAGATATTTTTCAAGGTGACCTCAAAGGCACCCAGTTTTTCCCCCCGACCTCCATAATTTAGCTACAAAAGTCGATCGCTGCTGTAGCCGTATTTTCAATTCTAACGAGCTTTCTATTTTATATGTCTAAGATCAACCTTTTGCCATTACGTTAACGGTAAAATAATCACACAGTATATATTTTTCACTGAGTTACAAATTTTTCAAAATACTTACCTCGAGCACTGAAATTTGTGATGCGTGAGGTACATGTGGTTGAAAGCTATTTTCTCTTATGTGGGACCTAATCTCGAGTCAAATCTATTACAGCCTATAAGCACTTACACCTAATAAGTAAATTATGGAATAGAACTTTTGGGCACTCTTCATGGCGCGCCGCAGAGAGCTTTGCGAATTTAACAAATATTCGCCATTTTGATCGAAACCAAAGATAACACGATCCGCACATGAATCCGATTTCTAAGCCCTTTCCCGGATTTTGAC